ATTGTATTGTATTGTATTGTATTGTATTGTATTGTATTGTATTGTATTGTACTGTATTGTATTGTAGACAGGGTCTTTCTCCGTTGCCCAGGCTGGAGGGCAATGCTGACCATATCTTTATCTTTTCAAGGCAGCCCTGATCTCACAGATTGTCCTTCATCCCTTCTTCACTATGAGTCTCTGAGTACTGTATTTGTACTCTCTTAAGCCCTAGCCATTTGGTGTTTCAAAGTTTACTACACTGCCCTCTGCTGGTCTAAACTCAGATTTACTCTAAAATGGGAGGCTCCCATCGTCAAGTACTACTAGATCAATGGCAAGATTAATGGCTAGATCTAGCCATTAAGCCTAGATCAATGGCTTAATCAATCCCTATCGCACTTGGTTTCCCCCCCTTTTCTTTTAATCTGGTGAAGTTTTCTATTCATATAGAACTTTGAGATGCTTATTCTCTTGAACAGTTTCTGCTAATGTACCATGGGGCGAAAGGGAGACTTCTCTACTTAATGTTGCTCCCCTGTTCATGGCTTAATCCCTTCAGTGACATTTTATTTTAAGGCCAAGTTCTGATGTTTACTCTTCTTTCTAAGCCATGGATCCTTTCTTGGTCCTCGAGTGTGTTGGCCAATATGTCACTCAGATCCTTAAAAAGAGAAACCCTTAGGCCGGGCGCGGTGGCTCAAGCCTGTAATCCCAGCACTTTGGGAGGCAGAGGCGGGTGGATCACGAGGTCAAGAGATCGAGACCATCCTGGTCAACATGGTGAAACCCCGTCTCTACTAAAAATACAAAAAATTAGCTGGGCATGGTGGTGCGTGCCTGTAATCCCAACTACTCAGGAGGCTGAGGCAGGAGAATTGCCTGAACCCAGGAGGCGGAGGTTGCGGTGAGCCGACATCGCGCCATTGCACTCCAGCCTGGGTAACATGAGTGAAACTCCGTCTCAAAAAAAAAAAAAAAAAAAAAAAAAAAAGAGAAACCCTTTCCCTGAGATACCCTAGAAATCTGCAGTGATACCAGTTGCTTCCAGTCTATTCTGATGAAGACTGTTCCTATGAAATCAGAAGTGCATATCACCTACAATTGCCAAGATCACTCACAGCATGAGAACTTTGTGAAGCACACACAAGTTTCAATAGCCAAATCGATCAAGCAGAAGAAAGGATATCAGAGATTGAAGTTAACTCAATGAATTAAAATGAGAAGGCAAGATTAGAGGAAAAAGAGTGAAAAGAAATAAACAAAGCCTCCAAGAATTATGGGATTATGTGAAAAGACCAAATCTACAATTGACCGGTGTACCTGAATGTGATGGGGAGAATGGAATCAAGCTGGAAAACACTCTTCATGACATTATCCAGGAGAACTTTCCCAACCTAGCAAGGCAGGCCAACATTCAAATTCAGGAAATACAGAGAACATCACAAAGATATTCCTCAAGAGCAACCCCAAGGCACATAATCGTCAGATTCACCAGGGTTGAAATGAAGGAAACAGTGCTAAGGGCATCCAGAGAGAAAGGTCAGGTTACCCACAAAGGGAAGCCCATCAGACTCACAGTGGATCTCTCAGCAGAAACCCTACAAGTCAGAAGAGAGTGGGGCCAATATTCAACATCCTTAAAGAAAAGAATTTTCAACTCAGAGTTTCATATCCAGCCAAACTAAGCTTCACAAGCGAAGGAGAAATAAAATCCTTTACGGACAAGCAATTGCTGAGAGATTTTGTCAATACCAGGCCTGCCTTACCAGAGCTCCTGAAGGAAGCACTAAATATGGAAAGGAACAAACAGTAGCAGCTACTGCAAAAACATACCAAATGATAAAGACCATTGACACAACAAAGAAACTGCATCAACTAACAGGCAAATCAACCAGCTAGTATCAAAATGGCAGGATCAAATTCACACATAACAATGTTAACCTTAAATGTAAATGGGCTAAATGCCCCAATCAAAAGACACAGATTGGCAAATTGGATAAAGAGTCAAGGCCTATCGGTGTGCTGTATCCAGGAGACCTACCTCATGTGCAAAGACACACAGAGGCTTAAAATAAAGGGATGGAGGATGATTTACCAAGCAAATTGAGAGAAAAAAAAAAAAAAGCAGGGGTTGTAATCCTAGTCTCTGATAAAACAGACTTTAAACCAACAAAAATCAAAAGAGACAAAGACGGTCATTACATAATGGTAAAGGGATCAATGCAATAAGAAGAGCTACTATCCTAAATATATATGCACCCAATACAGGAGCACCCAGATATATAAAGCAAGTTCTTAATGACCTACAAAGAGACTTAGACTCCCACACAATAATAGTGAGAGACTTAAGCACTCAACTTTCAATATTAAACAGATCAACGTGACAGAAAATTAACAAGGATATCCAGGACTTGAACTCAGATCTGGACCAAGCAGACGTAATAGATATCTACAGAATTCTCCACCCCAAATCCACAGAATATACATTCTTCTTGGCACCACATTGCACTTACTGTAAAATTGACCACATAATTGGAAGTAAAACACTCCTCAGCAAATGCAAAAGAATGGAAATCATAACAACCAGTCTCTCAGACCACAGTGCAATCAAATTAGAACTCAGGATTAAGAAACTCACTCAAAATTGCAGAAATACATGGAAACTGAACAACCTGCTCCTGAATGACAACTAGATAAATAATGAAACGAAGGCAGAAATAAAGATGTTCTTTGAAGCCAATGAGAACGAAGACAAAACGTACCAGAATCTCTGAGACACATTTAAAGCAGTGTCTAGAGGGAAATTTATAGCAATAAATGTCCACATGGGAAGGAAGGAAAGATCTAAAATCAACCCCCTAACATCACAATTAAAAGAACTAGAGGAGCAAGATCAAACAATTTCAAAAGCTAGCAGAAGACAAGACATAACTAAGATCAGAGCAGTACTGAAGAAGATAGAGACACAAAAACACCCTTCAAAAAATCAATGATTCCAGGAGCTGGGTTTTTGAAAAGATCAACAAAATGTATAGACAACTAGCTAGATTAATAAAAAAGAAAAGAGAGAAGAATCGAATAGATGCAATAAAAAATGATAAAGGGAATATCACTACCAATTTCACAGAAACATAAACTAACATCAGAGATTACTACAAACACCTCTATGCACATAAACCAGTAAATCTAGGAGAAATGGATACATTCCTGACACTTACACCCTCCCAAGACTAAACCAGGAAGAAGTTGAATCCCTGAACAGACCAATAACAAGGTCTGAAGTTGAGGCAGCAATTAATAGCCTACCAACCAAAAAAAGTTCAGGACCACAAAGGTTCACAGCCAAATTCTACCAGACATACAAAGAGGAGCTGGTATCATTCCTTCTGAAACTTTTCCAAACAATACAAAAAGAGGGAATCCTCCCTAACTCACTTTATGAGACCAACATCATCCTGATACCAAAACCTGGCAGAGACTCAACTAAAAAAGAAAATTTCAGGCCAATATCCATGATGAACATTGACGCAAAAATCTTCAGTAAAATACTGGCAAACCAAATCCAACAGCACATCAAAAAGTTTATCCATCACGATCAAGTCAGCTTCATCCCAAGGATGCAAGGCTGGTTCAACATATGCAAATCTATAAACGTAATCCATCACCATAAGCAGAACCAAAGACAAAAACCACATGATTATCTCAATAGATGCAGAAAAGGCCTTTGACAAAATTCAACAGCCTTTCATGCTAAAAACTCTCAATAAACTACATATTGAGTGAACGTGTCTCAAAATAGTGAGAGCTATTTATGACAAACCCACAGCCAATATCATACTGAATGGGCAAAAACTGGAAGCATTCCCTTTGAAAACTGGCACAACACAAGGCTGCCCTCTCTTACCACTCCTATTCAACATAGTATGGAAGTTCTGGCCAGGGCAATCAGGCAAGAAAAAGAAATAAAGCATATTCAATTAGGAAAAGAGAAGTCAAATTGTCTCTATTTGCAGATGACATGATTGTATATTTAGAAAAACCCACTGTCTCAGCCAAAATCTCCTTAAGCTGATAAGCAACTTCAGCAAAGTCTCAGGATACAAAATCAATGTACAAAAATCACAAGCATTCCTATACACCAATAACAGACAAACAGAGAGCCAAATCATGAGCAAACTCCCACTCACAATTGCTACAAAGAGAATAAAATACTTAGGAATACAACTAACAAGGACATGAAGGAGAACTACACGCCTCTCTTTAAGGAGAACTACAAATCACGGCTCAGGTAAATAAGAGAGGACACAAACAGATGGAAAAACATTCCATGCTCATAGTTAGGAAGAATCAATATTGTGAAAATAGCCATACTGCCCAAAGTAACTTATAGATCCAGTGTTATTCCCATCAAGCTACGATTGACCTTCTTCACAGAACTGGGAAAAACCACCTTAAACTTCATATGGAACCAAAAATGAGCCCATATAGCCAAGATAATCTGAAGCAAAAACAAAAACGAAAACAAAAACAAACAAAAAAACAAAGCTGGAGGCATCATGCTACCCAACTTCAAACTATACTACAAGGCTACAGTAACCAAAACAGCATGGTACTGGTACCAAAACAGAGATATTGATCAATGGAACAGAACAGAGGCCTTGGAAGTAACACCGCACATCTAAAACCATCTGATCTTTGACAAACCTGACAAAAACAAGCAATGAGGAAAGGAATCCCTCTTTAATAAATGGTGTTGGGAAAACTGCCTAGCCATGTGCATAAAGCTGAAACTGGATCCCTTCCTTACACTTTATACAAAAATTAACTCCAGATGGGTTAAAGATTTAAACATAAGACCTAACACCATAAAAACCCTAGAATAAAACTTGGGCAAAACCATTCAGGACATAGGCATAGCCAAGGACTTCATGGCTAAAACACCAAAAGCAATGGCAACAAAAGCCAATATAGACCAACGGGAACTAATTAAACTTAAGAGCTTCTGCACAGCAAAGGAAACTATCATTAGAGTGAACCGGCAACCAACAGAATGGGAAAAAATTTTTGCAATCTACCCGTCTGACAAAGGGCTAATATCCAGAATCTACAAATAACTTAAACAAATTTACAAGAAAAAAATAAACAAACCCATCAAAAAGTAGGCAAAGGAGATGAACAGACACTTTTCAAAAGAAGACATTTATGCAGCCAACGAACATATGAATAAAAGCTCATCATCACTGGGCATTAGAGAAATGCAAATCAAAACCACATTGCCAGTTGGAATGGTGATCACTGAAAAATCAGGAGACAACAGATGCTGGAGAGGACGTGGAGAAATAGGAACACTTTTACACTGTTGGTGGGAGTGTAAATTAATCCAACTATTGTGGAAGACAGTATGGCAATTCCTCAAGGATCTAGAAATAGAAATACCATTTGACCCAACTGGGTATATGCCCAAATGATTATAAATTGTTCTATTATAAAGACACATACACATGTATGTTCACTGTGGCACTGTTTACAATAGCAAAGACTTGGAACCAATCCAAATGCCCATCAATGATAGACTGGATAAAGAAAATATGGCACATATACACCATGGAATACTATGCAGCCATAAAAAAGGATGAGTTCATGTCTTTTGCAGGGACATGGATGAAGCTGGAAACCATCATTCTCAGGAAACTGACACAAGAACAGAAAACCAAACACCGCATGTCCTCACTCATAAGTAGATGTTGAACAATGAGAACACATGGACACAGGAGGGGAACATTACACACTGGAGCCTGCTGAGGGGTGGGAGAGCTAGGGGAGGGATAGCAGAGGGTGGGAGGATTGGAGAGGAATAACATTAGGAGAAATACCTAATGTATATGATGGGGGGATGGATGTAGCAAACTACCATGGCATGTGTATACCTATGTAACAATCCTGCATGATCTGCACATGTACCCCAGAACTTAAAGTATAATAATAATTTTAAAAAGGTCAATAAGCGACAGATGCTGGTGTGGCTGCAGAGAAATAGGAACACTTTTACCCTATTGGTGGGAGTGTAAATTAGCTCAACCATGGTGGAAGATGGTGTGGCAATTCCTCAAAGACCTAGAACCAGAAATACCATTTGACCCAGCAATCCCATTACTGGGTATATACCCAAGGAATATAAATCA